TGAATGAATGAATGAATGAATGAATGAATGAATGGCCCCACTCTGAGCCATCCATACTAATGACATAGGATTACTTGCTCTGAGCAAATTAAGAGGCTGCCTGGCCAGGAAATGAAGTCTCTTGCCCTCTGTTACGCTGTTCAGAAAACAGAGGGCTAAAAGTTGAATTTAAGATTTACATAAAAGTACTCCCCATTTGCCAGAACTTTTGCTTCAAATGATTACTGGCATAATCAGAGTTCAGCTGCCGCTCTGTCAACCAGCCTTTTCCTATTCTTTGGCTTAAGAATGAGACCTTAGAAGTCCTTACCGGCATAAAAGACCCTTCCAGCCAGCAACTAAGCCAAGTAAGCCCAATCTTTTATTCTCCTAAAGCATTACATTTGCTATATCTTAATGTTACAGCAGACCAAGTTCTTCCGTGTTTGGGCAAAACAGGTCTTTTAGAGATTAAACAAAATACCTGGCCCCCAGTTGTTGAGCCAACAGGCTGAATTTTCTCTGAAGAACACTGATTTCTACGAATGGACTAATAATTCCGAAATCAAGAGCATGTTACTTGTCTCATCCATTTCGGAGTCCCACCAAAGAGGGAACCCTCCCCACTCGCCAAACTAGGGGAAAACAGAGGCTTTCACAGGACACAGCCGTGGGGCAACAATGCTGAAGGAGGCCGTCCAGGTTTCCTTTCTGTTCTATTGTCTTCTTCTGTCAGCCCCCTCACCCCCCAGAATCCAGGCTTAATCAGTTACAGCGGAAAAACATTTAATAAATAAACGGCCAGACTGGAGCTGTCAGCTCCGCACAATAGGGTTGTTTGCATCTTCCGTTGAGCACCGGCCCCCCCTCTCCCGGCTTGCTTCAGCTCAAACAATCCCATTTGCTATTTTCATAAAATTAGTTTCTCTGAAGTTTCTATTAATCAGAACATTCTTTGGAGAGAATTATACTGGGATTTCATCACCATCTGAGTTCAACTGTTACGTGAATCTGATGAATTTTTATCACCTTTATGAGCCGCAGAGAAGGTAAAAAACGTGGGTGGGCTGATATAGGGGGGCTGAGAGCTCTCCCCTCATGTCAGCTGAGGTTTGACAGGCCTGAGAACTGAGATCAGTCTCCTCTGCTGCACATCTGAGAAGCTTTTTCCCCAGAACACATCTCCTTTAATATATCTATAATTCTGAATATTTTGGGGGTCACAGACTCTTACAAATTCAAAGATGCTATGGCTACTCTCCCTAGAAAAGTCCACATAGGCACATCCGCACTAATCCCCGCCATTGGTGGGCTTGTGGAAGCGCCCCTTCCCCTCTGCACACATATGGCCCATCCACGGACCCCAGAGTACTAACTGTGTATCCTGTGCCTTACTGAGCTTCCTCACCTCCCTTAGGAAACGTAGACTGGAATGGAAACTCAGCCACCAATGAATTCCTTTGTTGAAGCAAACAGAATTTTTTTTAAGAGAAAAAGAGCATAAGAATGAGAAAGTTTTTCATGGTGGTCATACACCGTTTGAGAAAGGACAAAAACCAGAAAACAGAACACAACACAACTCATACTGGCTGAAACACTGAAAGTTCCAGTATCCGTAAACTGATCACAGTGCACTGTTTTTCTCTGGATGAGACATGAAATCAAAATTAGGAAAGCTTCTGATGAATTCTTCTTGCCTCCAAACAATGTAACACTTATCCCATCCTGAGTAGGATAAGCTGTAATGAGAAAAGACGCAGCAAGGGTGAAAGAAACCTTGGGCCAATGGTTAGTATCAGCTCTGTCCACTGACTATGTGATTTTAGGCAAGAGGTAATTTATCTCTATCAATGATTAACACTACATAATTCCCAAAGTCTGTTTCAGTTCCAGAGTTCCATGGAACCTGACTCATTAGAGACTACTAAGGTAGGAAGGATCAGATTTTTTTCTTATGGACCCAGTTTTAAGTATTTTAGACTTTTGGGCTGTATCTGTATTAACTACTCAGTTCTGTTGTTGTAAAGTGAAAGCAGTCATCGACAACATGTAAATAAATGACAATGCCTGTGCTCTGGTAAAAAAAAAAAACAACTTGTGGACACTGAGATTTGAATTTCATGTAATGGTAACATTTTTCTTCTTTTGATTTTTTTCCAACAATTTAAAAATGTGAAAATCATTCTTAGCTTGCAGGTCATACAAAAAACATATGGCAGGCCGGATTAGGGCCGCAGGCCACAGTTTGCTGACCCCTGGTCTATAGTATCAGATAAATATTATTATTTGGAAAATCATGGTGGCAATTCTGGTTGACCTTGGAAGCCCAATAACTTGGGTTCAACTACTGACAGTAGCACCAGAGGACAGTTTTTGTTTACCCAGTTTTCCTGATTAGCAGAATAGAACACTGGTAGCTTTCAGCCTCAGCTAATAACCAACAATTACTTAGGTTTTTGGCCGAGACCTGCAGAAATGTTCAAATACTCACACATGAGAAAATATTTATGAAAAATTCAGGGCTCTCTAGAAGAAAAAGTTTTGATAACTACAAAATAAACAAGAAAACTTTGTCTTCTCTTGACATCATTCCTTACACTGCATAACCCTAATGATTTCTTTTGGCTACCCTGACTTTATCAGACAGCATAACAAATTAGCTTACACGTTTTAGAAAGAGGAAATAAGACACTGGTTTTTATTGTTGTTGCTTGGACTTTTGATTTAGAAGAAAAGAAAATTGTAATTAGACAAGATCAAATGCACACATATGTCACTGATGTACACTCTACAATACATAGCAGAGATATGGAGCAATGTGGAGAGGCAATGTGTAACAGTGTACAGAAGACAATTTTTAAAAAGATGAAGACTGGATAGTCAAGTCAATGTTCTATAGGGTGAACTTCAATTAAAAGGCAGCAAAAGATGGAGCACCATGCTGACAGCACATCCTCAATTTCAGTGAGAGGGCAGGATATCATTATGCAATCAGAAAAGGAAGACCTCCTCCCAGTTAAGACATGAAATAGACATGGGGCTAAGGGGCAGGCAGGGGTTCCCTTCTTAAGAGAGAGAAAACCTAAAGTGTTACATCCATTCAGGAAGATTTAAAAGGTGTGGAATGCCTGCTGTCATGCCCTAGTCTTAATTTACAATTTAACCCCAAAGTCAGTTTGATCCATTAGAAGTATAAGAAAGTTAACTTTCCCAATCTCAAACTTTTGAACACTTTCCCCAAAACATTAAGGCCTCAGAACTGGTCCTGACCAGTAGGTCTATACAATGTTATTTTCCATTATTTGTCTCCCTACAGGCACCAAATACTCAGTGCTCATTGTTTCATCCTCTTTGTGCAAACTATTCTCTCACCTTGGATTCCTTTCCATTTCTGTTCTACCTTTCCCATTACGGCCCATGTGCCAGGGCCCAGCATTAGTTCTTGCTATACCATGAAGACCACATTAACTCCAGCTAATACAGTATTTCCCTCCAAGTAATACAAATGAAGAAGTGTTATGAAAATTACAAAATGCTCTGCACATAGGAAGTAGTAGTATTATCTTTGGGGGCAATTAACTATAAATTATGTTGAGCACATTGTTATATCTTGCTTTAAAGTATTTCCTAATTGTTTCATATGTTGTTGACATTAACAAACCACAGACTATTAAGGCAGGAGTCACATGATATTTCTTTTGTGTTCTGTAGTCCCTACCATTGCTTAGCTACAGTTAACACTCAATTCCAATGAAATCAATTAATCAAAATAATGGCTCTCTTAACCACAAAGCTCTTCAGTGGGCCAAGTAAGGTTAAGTTGTTAAACACATAAGAAATCATTAGTCAGTACGTACCACTACAAATGAAACCTCCAAAGTAGAATAAATTTGAGATGTATTGTCAATGGAATTCAACCATCTTATATTTTACTCATAAAGCTGTTCAGGAGCTGAATTTCCTAAATCGGAGATTTGTCATTCCAGGATTTAACTGCTTCCTGATGTTTAAAAATGTTGTCTAAGGTCAAAGTTTCAAAATACGGCAGCTCCCAAAATTTAATATTGTTTGTTTTGATTATTGTCTGTTTTCCCTTCCTAATTCAGCACTGGCGCTTGCATCCTATGTTCCATTTCCTTTGGTTGGCCTGCTCTGTGGATCTTTTGGCCTGACAGGCCACATAGCCTTGGAACGAAATCATGCAAGTTTCAGTTTGCAATTAGGTAAGAGCAGTCGCCTAAAAGCATTGACCAGCTCCCGTTCCAGACGCCCGCAGTGACAGATTTTGATTGACCCCAGCCTTCTTCCCCAGTCTCAACCATGAGTAAAATGGTGCAATTAACTATTTGAGGGTTATTAGGGGACCTTAGTTACTGGGCCTGACCTCTTCTCCGAGGCCTACTCTGACTTGCCCCCAGAACTCTGCGGGCCGCCGGAGCCAGTGGGTCGGGAACTGAGACTTCCATCTGACTCCGGAAAGGCACTAACGTCTGGTCAGCCATAGAGATCTCCGGGGGCAGGTTGCTGCCCGGCCCCTTGGCTTCAGAGTTGGGCTGTGCAGTCTCCATGGCAACAGCGATGGAGGCCGGGAGAAGCAGCTCTCTTCCGCCTAACAACCCGCCCTCCGGCTATATTGACCAATGTTCCTCTGAGTTACAGAAGAGATGGTGTGATTGACAAAGAGGTGGGAAGGGAGATGAAAGCCAGGACTTCCTCTGCCCAATTGAAGGCCGGTCTCAGGACCAAAAGCACCGACCAATCGGAGGGCTTAACGACACGCGACGTGCCCACCCAGCACGCTCGGCGTTGCCTGGAGCCGCAGCGTGCAGAAGCAAATGAGGGGGAAGCCAGACGCTGAAAGAGCGGCGCTGATTAGCGAATCCGGAATCGCCTGAATGAAAGCCCACTTATGATTCGCCCTAAGTAGACCAAAGCCCCTGTGGGCTGGAACCGGCCGAATCGTCAAGCGTGAGTAGGGGGCCGGGGAGAGGGAGAGCCCGGTGATGCGGGTGGAGGTGAGGAAAGTGGGGCGTTCGCGGAGAGCGGATGCTGGGGCTGAGCAGGCTGGGAGAAGGCGTGGGTGGACCGCTCAGTGACCCTGACCGCTGATCTGGACCCGAGGCCCGGAGGCAAATAAATACTTATTTGGGGCAAGGAAGGAAGGAAAGTTTTATTGCTCACGCACCTTAGAAAGTGAAATGTCAGCGATCGATTCTAATAGCTTATGACTGAAACCTTCATCTGTCCAACTGCTGGGACGTAGCGGGGCGAACCTTCTTAGATGAAACCTGGGGGCAATGTTCTCTTGTCGCCAGTTTGAATCAACAGTAGGCCTTGGAAGAGAAGGTAGAGCCCTACTTACTGGAATGTTCCACCTCAGCAGTGGAGTGCTGCTGTCCTGGGAGCCCTGGGTGATGGGCTGAAGACACACGATCGCTGTGGCGCTTGCAAATCGAAACACCGCCCAGGAAAAAGGTGGAAGGAAAGGTGTGGATCCACTGATCTTCCTTTTCTGTCAGTGTATCAAGAGATGATGCCACATCGATGGCACTTAGCTAGCTCAGGAATTGATTTTTTCCAGACTTGCATTTTAATTAATTACAAAAGTAGAGGTAATATCCTCGTATTTTAAAATTCAAACCATAGTGAAGTGTTTAAAATAGAAAAATTGAAGCACCCCTCAATTATTTTTGAAGGTTCCTGACAGCTACTAAGGAAAGTGAAAAAGAAACTTCAGGAAAGGCAACTCAGCCCTATAACCCGCTGTTTTCTACTACTTTTCAAGGGCCTGAGTCTGAACATCTGGGAATGGTGAGATATCTAACACCCACCACCGGCAACTTAGGTTACCCTCCATGGAATCCACATTTGTACTGCACAGTAAGTCATCTTGTAATAGCCTCTAGTATTCTCTCTCACACATGGTGGACAGCGTGGTGGTGAGCAGTGTATTTTTAATCCAAGAGGCTGCCTATGTAGGGGTCAGGCACCTTCATGAATGCCTCTCTGTCAGTTTTCTCAGAGAGCTAGGTGAAAGGGTGCATAGAGCCAATTGCTAAATGGATGAAGAGCCCATTACACATACCTCTAAACAGTATTGGACAAACTCTTCAAAGAAAAATCTCACCGCATAAACCCAGATGGGAAAAGTTAGCCCTGTAGTTGCTCTTGTCATCAACTACCAAGCAAGGTGTTCAAATTAGGACCTTATTTTATTCTGACTCTAGTCTATTTGCTTTAAACGTCACAGGTATTAAGTAAATGGACTTACTCTGGAACCCAGGTTGACTAAATCATCGGTTCTCAGGAAGGTTTGAAAAAGGCCTGGACATTAAATAGGAACCCTGTTGTTTTTTATTTTTATCATATTTTACTCAGTAATTTAGCTGATCAAGTATGGGAAATAATTACAAGTATTGGTCTCACACTGAATTAATAAGCTGAAATATGGATGTTCACTCCTCTCCCACAACAGCACTCTGTCTAGCCCTTCCTTTTTGTGTTTAGTAAGAAAATACGCAGTTTGGTTATAAAGTGATGAGCCTCATTCTTACAAGAGCTTGGAGATATTTGTCTCATTACTGTAAAGCCATGCCATATATGGAACCCAATGTCTCATGAACTTTTAAGCTTCTATGGGGGATTGAAAGGCAATGTTTCTAATGATACCAGCTTTAACTACCATTTGCCCTGTGTTAGAGTTGGTCCAAGTTTTACAGGTTTTGTGTAATATCCCAAACAGCAGCAATTAAATTTAACTAGTTATGTTGTTAAGGGCAGTACCATCAGCTCAGTCAACCAATCAGGAAACCTGTCATCTCTAGTGCCTTCTCCCTTAACTTAACATTTCCATGGCTAGGACTGGAGTTGAGACCCTCATCATCTCATACCTGGAGAACTGGAATCATCTTCTTATTGGCTACCAGTCTCTGGTCTCTGATGTCAATTCATAGGCACTCAGTTACCTATTTAAAAATCACAAATTATCTAAAAACTTTTCAAAAATAGAGAATATTACACTGGTAGTACAACAAATATCTATGCCCTACCAACTAGATTACAAATGTTAACATTTTGAAACATTCGCTTATATTTTTTATTTTTTTAGTTGGGATCCCTTCTCTACTCTTTCCTGGCCCCATTCTCCTCCCTTCCCTCCTCCCCAGAGGCAGACACTTTTCTGAAATTGTTGTGCATCATTCATGTCCATGTTTTTATATATGTATAAAATACACTGTATATATGTACATAATAAACAATATTTATTACTATTTAGGTTTGTTTTAATTTTTGAAATACAAGTAGTATCATACTGTGGGCTTCATTTTGCAGCTTCTATCACTCAACACTGTTTTTGAGATATATTCATGTCAATGCAGCTAGATCAAGTTCATTCATTTTAAGTGTTCATTATGAGCATATAATATATCAGATCCATTCCCTTATTGATGGACTTTAGTTTTTTCCAGATGTTTTACTATTCTGAATAAATGAGGCTGCAATGAACATCCTTGTACATGTCTCTTTATGCAAGAGTTGTTCTGGAACAGTGGTCCTCCAGGGGGGTGGTATTGCCTCTTTGGTCATTTTGGAATTCATGAGGGCATATTTGGTTATTATTGTGATTTTGGAGGCACACAGGGGTTTACAGAGCAGGGCTGGGGATGCAAGATTCCGCAGTGCATAGGCAGTCCCTCACAATGGCACATTGTCCCATATTCTGCACAATTTTTGAGTATACCGCAGGATACTCATTTATAATCTAAGCTTATAACTTAACTCCATTTCTTGGCATAAACATAATGTATTTTTTTGGCACAGTTTAATATAGTAAAATTTCCAAGAATGCAACTCAAAATGTAAATCAAGGGGAAATTATACTTATTTACGTTTTGGAACTTTTACAAGAGTTGTTCATCACTCCAGAAAATCACATAACTGAAGGCAGCCAGCTCGTGGTATTTGAGTTGCCATACAACACACCTGCATCAGCCTGCAATGGTGGCTTTTGCATTCGTGGTGGTTCTAAGTTTAGGTGCAAGCATCTGAGTGCTCCACTTCATTATGTATTCTAGTGTAGTCAGCCTGAACATTTGTATATTTAAACATATGCTGTTTTATTATGAATTACTTTCCATTTAAAATTGGCATCTGTATAGGAGCTAGAGGTCTAGTTTTATTACTTTCTGATTGGATCATCATTTGTCTCAATACCATCTATGAACTCCTTTACTCGCTGAATCATAAGGCCAACTCTGTCCTGTACAGAGTTCTCATAAATGCATGGCTCTGTTTCTGGGTTCTCTATTTTATTCCACTGGCTCGTGTGTCTTTATGCCACTATCACACTGTTTTAATTACCTTGGTTTTATAATGTGTTTTGTAGCAGTTGGTAACAGGCAAGTTTCCATTCGAGTTCTTAAAATTGTTTTCTCTATTCTTGGGCTTTTGCTCTTCCATATGAATTTAGGATCCGTTTTCAAGTTCCACAAAAAATTATTTTGAGATTTTGGTAGGACATATATTGAATTGATAGATAAAGAAAATTGAGATCTTTCAATATGGAATCATCCCATCCAGGAACAGGGACATTCTCTTTTTGGGTCTGTTTTGTTTCTTCACTCAGGTTTTTGTTTTTTTTTTAAATATCTATGAATAAAGTTCTTCTATAAAAATCTTCCACATCATTTTGGGGGATTTATTTCATTTATATATGCACACATCTTTTTATTATGAAAGTTTCAAATACATTCAAAAGTATAAAAAACAGTATAGCAAATAGTCATACTCATCACTGGCTTCAACAAGTAACTCATGACCCCCTCACATCCTCTGCCCTGGAAATTATGAAGTTCTCAGACATCACTTTCTGTTACCTGTGTTATGTATGTGTGTGTAGATTTGTATGTCATATAATCTTTTAGCAATATGACTGACCACAATACCATCACATTTAAAAAAAATATTTTTCACTTAAAAAAATAAATAGCAAGTCCCTCATATTGTCAAATATCCAAATACTGTTCAGATTTCCTCAGTAAAAGGGTTTTTGCATTTGGTTTGTTTGAATTAGGGTTCCAGTTATTCCACATCCCTGGCAACACTTAGTGTTGTCTGTCATTTTCATTTTAGCCATTCTGATGGGTATCTAGAAGTACTGCACTTAGGTTTTCGTTTGCAATTTCCTGATGACTAACGAAATTGAGCACCTTTTCACATACGTATTAGCCATTTGTATATCCTCTTTGTCAAGTATGTACTCTTCTTTTTAATCTGCTTCATCTATGGATTTCTGAGAAAGGTATCTAAAATCTCCCCCTAAATTTGTGAGTGTGTCCATTGCTTGCAGTGGTTCTGTCAGTTTTGGCTTTATAGATTTTGAGGCTTTGTTTTAGGTTCATATTTGTTTTGAGCTGTATCTTTTTGTTAAAATATTCCTTTGTGACTGCTACTAAATTTTTCAAAGATCTACATTCTATTTACTTGGATACTAATACTGTTTCTCCCAATTGTATTTTGTTTTGCTTGTTTTTTTAAATTGTGGTAAAAAACACATATATAATATTTATCATCTTAACCATTTTTAAGTGTTCAGTTCTGTAGTGTTAAGTATATTCACATTGTTGCGCAACAGACCTCTGGGACTATTTGATCTTGCAGAACTGAAGCTCTGTATCCATTGATCAACTCCATTTCCTCTCCCCTCCTTGTTTTCATTTTGTTAGTATTTGCTTTTTGTCTTCTTCAATCTCTTTGTTTTCTCTCATTATGAAAGTCCCTCATATTGTCAAATATCCAAATACTGTTCAGATTTCCTCAGTAAAAGGGTTTTTGCATTTGGTTTGTTTGAATTAGGGTTCCAGTTATTCCACATCCCTGGCAACACTTAGTGTTGTCTGTCATTTTCATTTTAGCCATTCTGATGGGTATCTAGAAGTACTGCACTTAGGTTTTCGTTTGCAATTTCCTGATGACTAACGAAATTGAGCACCTTTTCACATACGTATTAGCCATTTGTATATCCTCTTTGTCAAGTATGTACTCTTCTTTTTAATCTGCTTCATCTATGGATTTCTGAGAAAGGTATCTAAAATCTCCCCCTAAATTTGTGAGTGTGTCCATTGCTTGCAGTGGTTCTGTCAGTTTTGGCTTTATAGATTTTGAGGCTTTGTTTTAGGTTCATATTTGTTTTGAGCTGTATCTTTTTGTTAAAATATTCCTTTGTGACTGCTACTAAATTTTTCAAAGATCTACATTCTATTTACTTGGATACTAATACTGTTTCTCCCAATTGTATTTTGTTTTGCTTGTTTTTTTAAATTGTGGTAAAAAACACATATATAATATTTATCATCTTAACCATTTTTAAGTGTTCAGTTCTGTAGTGTTAAGTATATTCACATTGTTGCGCAACAGACCTCTGGGACTATTTGATCTTGCAGAACTGAAGCTCTGTATCCATTGATCAACTCCATTTCCTCTCCCCTCCTTGTTTTCATTTTGTTAGTATTTGCTTTTTGTCTTCTTCAATCTCTTTGTTTTCTCTCATTATGCTTTCTGTTCAGTGTTTGTAAAGAGCTGGGATTTTTTAATCCGTATGAGAATCTCTTAACAGTCAAGAACAATCTGTTTGGATTTACTGTGATTACTATTATATTTGGGTTTTTCAGGCTTATTTTGGATTTTCTATTTTCCTTGTCTTTTCTTCGTTTCTTTCCCCTCTTGCCTTCAGCTTCCCTTCATTATTTTTTTCATTCTACTTATATGGAAGTTATTCATCCTATTTCTGTTATTTGGTGTTTACCTGTACATTTTTTAACATGCATGTTTAGCTTAACAAAGTCTACAGGTGATGATTAACTTACCTTCTCCAGAGCAAAATGATAACCAGATAATGATTTAACTTTGAACTCTCCTTTCTCATCTTCCTAATAACCATTGACAAATACTTTATTTCTTCCTTGTTTTTAACTCCTCAAAAAATGAGCCCTTGTCATTACAGAAATCTTTACTGTCAGTATTTCCTAGTGTTTTCCCACCATTCCTCCTTATGCTTGATGCCTTCTTTCCTGGTTCATTTTCCTTCTTGCTGAAGTATATCTCTGAGAGACGAACCCCCTTTCAGTATGTATATGTCTGAACACATCTTTATCTTATATGCACTTTCGTGGGAGCCTTGCACGCCGACCTACGGTGGCATGCCTCTCTGCCGGGAGCCTTTGGGTTGTTCACCTTTTGTCAGTTTTTCATGTTGACCTTACTACATGGTACTACTCAGGACTCCTATGCTGTATGGGTAGGTGCCTGGAACCCCACACCTGGATGTGAAGCAAGATTGAGATTCTGATTTCTCATTCCTTTTTCACCCACAGCCTGAAGCTCTTGGCCAGCATTCTACCAACTGAGTCAGCAGCAAGTTTTTGAGTCCCTATTCCAGAGACAGGTGAGCCCTTTCAGGACTTATCTTCATGCCTTGTTCTCAGTTCTCGGTGGGTCTGAGACTTCATCTGTCCAGGAGGGGACCACTTGAAATGTCTGTAGCTGGTTCCGTACCGCTAAAGACCTCTGGGCTCAGCTCCTGCTGACCGCTCTGGCTTTGAGTTATGTTTTTCTTTATCGCCCTTAAGGATTTTCCTTTACTGCTTTCAAGTTCCACTGGGTATTAAGCTCTTTTCTATTTTATTAAGCATTTCTGCATGTCTGCTGTTGGATGAGAGAATTCCTTCGTTAGCTCTATCCAGCCTATTGGCCAGAAGTAGCAGTCATCTTTCTAAAGCTAGAAATGACCCTCTCTCTCCTTCACTTGATTGTTGTGGACTTGTTAGTATTGCCTCATTTGTTCAGCTAACAAATATTTCTTGCTTATCTCTGTGGTAAGAACTGGGGATACTGTGGGGAGCAAGATACCATCTCTGCCCTTGTGGCGTTTACTATTCTAGTTGGAGACCGAAAATAAACCTTTAAACAATAAATAAAAATGTGAACTACAGTGTATGAAATGTGCTCTGAAGGAAATGGAGTAATGGAGAGCAGTTGTTTTGGGGGTCACGTTAGCGAGGCCATCAGGGAAGAGGTCTCCGAGGAGCTTACATTTAAAGCTGAGGTCAGGTGGGTGTGGGGAGGCTAGCCCTGCCCATGGGGGAGGGCTTGTTTGGGGTCAGGGCTTAATGACGAGCCGTGGAAACAGCAGTACAAGGACCCAGACATGGGGAGACATTTGGCATGTTAGGGTCATTGAGGCGACAGCCGCGTGCTCTCATGAGGGGCAAAGGCAGCCCAGTGAGGTCAGCGAGAGGGAGCTGCCTCCTCGGCTGCCAGCCTCCGCACACCCGTTCCCCGCACCCTGTCATCTTGCCACACCGGTTCCTTCCCAAATGGGCCTGCGCAGAATGGCTTTCTTGTAAAGCCCCTCCCACTGTCTCATTCCATTGCTCTTTATTTCTACTTAACAGAATGTAATACGAATAGTTGTTTATGTGACAGGGTTCTCAGGTCAACCTTAAGCTTCTATCAGAAGATACTTTGGATCCCCAGCTTGAAGCACGACGCTTTACATGTTAGGCCCATAATAGATGTTGATTGAATAAATGTTTGTCTGTTTTAGCAGTTCATGATTACAGCTTCCTTTCCAATATCTTTAAACAGAACTTCTCAAAGATAACAATTTTTGTGGTATTTAAGTCATCAGGGTAAAGAATACCATCAACCTCAGGAGGAATATGCTTGCTTAAGATTTGCCTCTGATCCTGGAAGGGAAAATCAGGGGAGGTACCACAGAATGGTGTTCCCCTGGAGTGGGTTGGGCAGTGGCCCCCAGAAAGGTTATGCCCACATCCTGGAACCTGTGAATGTGACCTTATTTGGAAAAAAGGTCTTTGCAGATATAATTAAGGACCTTGAGATAAAGTCGCACTGGATTGTTTGGGTGAACCCTAAGTCCGACAACGTGTCCTCATCAGAGACAGATGGGGAGAAGCCAGAGACACAGAGAAGGCCCGTGAGGATGAGAGCAGAAATGGGGGCGAGGAGGCCACAAGCTGAGGAACAGCAGGAGCTGCCAGCAGCTGGGACAGGACAGGAAGGATTCCCCCTGGGCCTTTGGAGGGAGCCTGGCCTGCCTGATGCCTGAACCAGACTTCCGGCCTCCAGAACCATGAGAGGATAACTTCCTGTTGCTGTGAGCCACCCGGTCTGTCAGGACACATCCCTTCACCCTGCACCTCTTCTGTCACACGCAAATGACCCCCGCCTCAGCAGCTCACTGCCCTGATTAAGCGACACGCTTGTGAGGGCCTCGGCGCACAGGGGATGCTCGCAGATTGGGACGGTTCTTCTTTCTCTTCTTCTTCAAGGATTTAGGAGTTTCTTTCTGCTGTGAATAGAAACTCAACAATGGAGCAGGACACTTCCGTCCTGTGATTGCTCACTGAGACGTGGCTCTCGCTGAGGACTCAACCTGACCGCTTCACCTCGGGTCCTGGGGCCTTCACAGCCTTCAGTTAGGGTTTTATATCAAGGGAGAGTCCAGCTTTCTGCTGTGCGTTGGGGAAGGACAGATTGGAACTCAGATACCAAATGGGAGGTGACCCCCAACACAGCAGAAAGCAACTTCTCCACCCTCACCAAAAAGAAAGGTGTGGGCTCCTAAATTTCTCCCTCCTATTAAGGAACTCGACATTCCTGAAGGCCTACATTCATGAACACTCCTGCCACACCAGTCATCAGAAATTCCCCATAGTGAGTTCAGACTTTCTGCCTTTGTCTGAACAACATCCTAAGACCCAGGGGCATGTGGAAGGCAGGCAGCCCCAGAGCCCTGGGGACCCCTCAGCCGCTGGGGCGGGTCGGGTGGGGTGCAGCCTCAGCCTCCTGTCTCCGCAGATGGCCGGCACCGTACTGGGCCTGGGGGCCGGTGTGTGCATCCTAGCCCTGCTCTGGGCGCTGGTTCTGCTCCTGTGCGTGCTGTTCTCCAGGTCCTCCGGTGTTGCTAGGTAAGGCATTCTCTCCAGCTGACAGTGCCAGGTAAGGGCAATTAGAAGCGAGCTCGCAGAAGCTCAGGAGATATTTAGAATTCAGACCATAATTTTTGTAGTTACTGGCAGTTCGAGTGAGTTGCATTTTAGCCTCTTGACATAAGCACTAACTGCTTACTTGTGCTCTGAGGCAGAGAGGGGAGGAGAAGGGAAAGGGGTATTGGCAGTTCTCACCGTAGAGGAGACGGCGGGGGGCCACAAGTGATGAGAAGAAAAGCTCCACTGCCTGTGGGGTTTCTTGGGTGGGACATGCATGTGTCTCTTAACTGTTCAGATCTGTGGTGGATGCTTGGACCAGTCCCTGAGGCCCTAGACCGGAGCCCAGGGAAACTGAAGAAGCCCTAGAGGACTTGGGCAGCTCTCTGTAGGCTTTGACTCTAGAACGGAGTCAGGCCCTGAGGGACTCCAATGGCACTGCAGAGCTGCACCCTGGCCAGCCAGTGTCAGTATGAGGCCGCGAAGCTACATCATTTTCTTAAGTATCCGGGTCTGAGAACCAGCACAGAAGTGGGGATGAGGGAGGGACCACTCTGATTTGTCATGATTATGACTGTGCAGGGGCAAAACTGAAACCACTAATTCCATTCTTAGGAGTTTAGAGTTACCTGGGATACACAGAAATGCATCCAGCTGGTGGTGCCTGTTTCCGAAGAAGGGCTTTGCGATGAAGGAGAAGCATTTCTAAATCCACTGGACTGTGTGGACAGCAGGTCCCTGGGTCTTGTTAATGGACAGAAGCATAAGAATTTTGGCCCCAGGGAAGAGCTAGTCCAGGCCTAACTGATCAGAGAGGAAACTGTGAACAGTGCTTTTCACACTCTTGTCTTCTGACTCCAGGTTCTCTGTCATTTTTGCCTTCCTCGGTGCTCTGATCATCACATCCGTTTTGCTGCTTCTCCCCAGGGCCAGTGAAGCCCCAGCCCCAGAGGTCGAAACGAAGGTAAAACTGTTGGTTTTCTTTTGTCGCCTGACTTGTAACTCTTGCTGCCCTTGGTCTAGGCTTCCAGCCTGCCCCGTGTGTCCCCTAGCATTGCATTGGCTGCAATGAGGTAGCAGAACTGCAAAGTTCAAATAAGGGTGGACAAAGCTCAGAGGGCATTGTAAGTCCCCACCCCCTTCACCCAGGAGAAGAATCCTATTCTGATTTCCACTTGCTGCACCTCAGGCAGTTATTTGCCTGATTTGATCCCATCTCCCGTTTGCATCAAGTTGAATGAGCAGTGGGTCCCAAAGCCACCTCATGCTATGGAGCCAGAGAAAGAGAAAATGTGTGAGGAACAGGAAAAGACCTGGTCCTGAAGTGAACTGTCCCCATTCCTTGTAGCTGGGGCTCAGAAGCTCTGATGCAGGCCCGCAGTTGAGCAGCCCCCATCTCCCCGTGTTCCATCGTTGCCACTTGTGATGTGAGGAAATACTCTCCATAGGGAGGCGTAGTGAGGAAAGACAAGCATTTCTCTAGGAAGCCGAAGTCTGGTGATAGATGGATTCAATACTAGTGGCCTTCTGGGAGAGCCTTTGGGCTGCCTTCCTGGAACCACACGTGCCAACACCCACCTCTAAATAGATTTTTATCATTTCCTAGGCCTTCTCTGGAGACCCACCCCCCATTCTTTTCAGTGCTGAGCGGGCTTGGCTTTACCATGCTTGGCTGGTCTCAAAGCCCTAAGATCTTGATAATAGCATTGATTTCTTGTGTCCCATTACTCCTTCTAGCAGCTTCTTTCTTCTCAACCTCCATTTTAATTTCTTAAGTAGCAACAATAATAACTAACGTTGTTTTAAGGGATTACTGTGTGCAAAGTCCTGTACTCAGCATGTTGTTCACATTCTGTCATTTAGACCTCAAGATACCCTAATAGCATGATGTGGGTACTATTATTATACTCACTTTATAGGTATGGACGCTGGGGCTGTAAGAGGTTAAAGTAAGTTGCCCAAAGTCGTACATAAAGGAAGAGGCAGGGCAAGGATTGAGGTCTGTCTGCAAAGCCTTCATTGTGGGAACTGCGCAGAATATTAGAGGCCAAGGATTCGTGGTGACTCTTTTGACACTAGACAACAGTACACAAAATTACATAACAACTTCTGAACAAAAATTGGGCACACATTTCCAACTCTATCGAGGACTAACCACAACAAAAGGGAGGAAACTGGTTCTGAAAAGTCCCAGGGAAATACCACACACATTTAAGGAACTATTTCTGTATATGCCAGGTATTTCTGTCAGCATTTAAAGATCTCTGTTTGTCTAAGTGTCACGTGTGTGAGCTGGGGGTGAGGGGTAAATGCTCACTTCCATTTCCCTCGTAAAGGGAGAGGGCAAAAAAGGCCACCATATTTCTGAATTGCGGCAGAGGTAAGTGTTGGGAGGACACAAAACAACACGTTTTTAATTCAATTCCTCTGTCTTCTGTCATCCGAGTTTCAGACCCAGGAGAGAAGGATGGGCTTTGAGCAAAATTTGTTCGTCTGCATGGCCAGCAGAATTGGAGACCTTGTTTTCAGGTTTCGAGAACTGCTCCTGTAGCAGGCTGGCTCAATACCATATCAATAATACATGACCTGGGCCTTCTGCACCCAAGGCCAGCTAATTGGCTAATTAAAAAGTGAAACATGTCAAATGAGCAAACGTGTAGCCCACAGGAGACTTGTTCAGTTCTAGAGCCAAGGTCAAAGTTGCGTTAAAGCTGTTGTATCCAACTGACCTTTGTTGTAAGTTGGCTGCTGGGTAATCTCTGGGGCAGCCCATTTCTTCTTGGTATCCTTGGATCTCAGCCACCACAGCAGTGCTCGACTGGGCAGGTGCTCTGTGTGTTGCCACTGTATTAGTTACCTGTTGCTGCTGTAACAAATTACCACCAACTTGGTGGCTTACAACACAGATTTATTATCTTTTAGTTCTATAAGTTCAAAGTCCAAAATCAGTCTCACTGGGCTAAAATCCACGGGTAGGCAGGGCTGTACTCCTCTCTGGAGGTTCTAGGGAAGAATCTGTTTCCTTGTTCTTTCCAGCTTCTAGGGGCCGCCCGTGGCCCCTGGCCACCTTGATTCATCTTCAGAGCCAGCAAGGTGGCATCTCCCCGACTCTGCTTGCATCTTCATGTCTCTCTCTCTCTCTGAGGTCTTCTGCCTCCCTCCTACAATTTTAAGGACCCCTGTGGTTACATTGGGTCCACCTGGATTGGATAATGCAGGCTAGTCCCCGTATTTGAAGGTCATCTGATCAGCAACCTTAATTTCCCTTTGCTGTGTAGTCTATCAGATTCACAATTTCTGAAGATTAGGATGTGGACATTCTGGGGCCACTATCCTGTCTACCACAATCACCTTTGAGTAGTTTGGATTTTCTTCCAGGTACTGGGGTTTTAAAGCCTCTGGAAGCTGTGAAGTCACCCAGTCACACGGTTTGTGTGGCTGCTCCATTAGTCCATAGATTAAATTGTTTTTTCCTGCCCCAACTTAAGCACCACCATTTGGATCCGGGGAGAGTAGTGCGCTGGCAGTGGACAGTAGACAAGTGAACCAATACTAACTACAGGTTTTTGTCAGCAAAGACCAACAGCTTTGGGGCCTCAAGTATGACTGGTTACCGGGCAGCCAGCTGTATGACTCGGGCCCATTATCTATCCTCTCCATGTTTTAGTATCTCAGGTAACTGGCCATTTTCCGTAACCCTTAGAATGCTGGGTTAGCAATGTTAGGATTCAGAACTCTTCTGATAAAAGTTTTAAAGTTCATTTTGAAAATGAACCTCCTGAACGGACAATAGGTTGATGATTTTGGGGTTTGAATCTTGGGTATATGGGGGTTTATTATGCTACTGTATTTTCATATATGTTTAAAATTCTCCATAATAAAAAAGTGAGCCTTTCTAAGGCCGTGCAAGCCAGCTTCTCCTGAACTCCTTCAGGTAACTGATTTCAGAACAGAAAAGAGTTCATCCAGCATCTTCAAAATGAAGCTTTATGAGCCTCCTGAATAGAGCCATTTGTTCCCAGTACTTCCCTAATCCTTTCTTTATCTTGTATTTCCGGCTCAGGGAGTTAAGAAAAGGTCCTTTCTTGACCATTTACAGAGGAGACTCAGGGGCAGGATGTTCCTGGAAGTTGCAAATATGAACATACTCTGGGCCCAGTCATCAACGATTTCAGGCGAGCACAGCCAGGGTGCTGAAATGATGGTGATTTCCTTTTTGATGTTTCCCTCCCCAGGTTGTGGATGCCTTTTTCATTGGCCGCTACGTCCTGCTGGCTTTCCTCATCGCTGTCTTCCTTGGAAGCCTCTTTTTGGTTCTTACGCATCATATCTTAGAGCCAGTCTACGCCAAACCACTGCGGTCCTACTGAGCACCGTTTGGGAAAACCAAGACCCTGTTTCTCCTTCAGTTTTGGTGTCATTGATGGGCGGAAAGGCAGCGATCGGAGCCTTGTTTTGACTGCCTTCATGCCTCAAGCTCAGAGGAATATCCATTCCTCACCAAGACAAATCCCTCGAATCCTGGCTTCCAGAAGTGGGGCTGCAAGATTGTCCCTGTGCAGATAGATTCTCACCAGCCTAAGGGGGATATTGCTTTCTTCTTAGCACCTGTACCTCAGCTTTTCCATCTGTTTTGAAAAGGAAATCGTAGGAGTGATCTGCTCAGAGTAGATTTTCAATCCAGATGTCAGTGAGTAGATTTGGGGTAAAGCAGCACTTTGGCTTCTGCTGTCTGATAGATGGAAGAATCTGGTCCTTTTAATATATGACATTTTCAGTTACAAGGTCAGGATCACTGGGAAAGGAAAGGCACTCAAAGTTCAAAGGGTTACTTGATGTGCTGAGTTGGAAGGCTGCTCAGGTTTTGAGCATCCTATGCGTGTCACGCCGCAGAATTCTGTAACGGCGGTGGTGTCACCTCCCTCTGCTCTGATAAATCAATAGCCAAGAACCAAAGGAGTGACTTCACTTCAGATTCTTGGCCACAACTTCCTGAATCTCATATTTCTAGATTTCAAATTTACCTGGAGATTAGGAGGAAGGGTATGAAAATCTGGTTGGTTGTCTCACTTTGTATCTCTGGGATTCTTTTTTCCTAGGATTTGGTGGCCTTTGAGTGCCTCATTATGTTACTGTAAGAGCCCATTTGGGGTTATTGGCATCTCTTTTCATCTTTGTAGCCCATTCTCCAAAGCTAGTGAGGGATTAGATGTAACTTTGAACCTGTCTGACATCCCTGACCAAGTGAAATTTGTCATTAAGCGGAGCAGCTGGTTCCATTCTGGAAGATTTTCTGGCTTAAAATTATGAACCAGAGAACAAGTTGGAGAAAGAACTTGGAGTACATGCTAGATGCCGGTACTATACTAGTTCCCCCAAAATTCAGTTTATTTCAACTTTACAACAATCTATTATGATTCCCATTTTGAAGTAGAAAAAAGTACTGTGTAAAGAGATTAACTAACTTGCCTAAGATGCATGCACATAATGGCCGGTGTGCATACCCAACCGTGGCCAAAACCAGGGCCTGTGTTGGACTCCAAAGAAAACACACCGAGCTTGTGGCACTTACGAGAGCTTGAGGAAGTTAGGGCCACTTCTCCTCTGCTTTCCCTCCTGGGTCCTGTTGGTGTCAAAAAGGTACCCAGTCCTGCCACCCTGGTGGGGGTTAAGCTCTAAACAAAGAGGAGAGAACTAGTGGTCTGGGGCAGCCCAGGGCAGGTAAGGGCCAGGTGTCGTTACCTCTACACTTGAACTGCCTCTATATTATTCACTATGGGAAACCTTTGCGGATAAGGCCTCGTACGGAAAGCTTTGGAGGAAATAGTTTCTTAACCTGGCCCACATATAAGAAAAGAAAGGAGACGCAGCCCTCCAAGCAGACCGGAGGGGAGAAAGGAGAAAAGGTGCCCCTCTCTGGACACTGGTGCTGACACTTGCAGATACCCGTGAGCATCTCTGTGCAGCGACGCTGAGCCAGCCCAAGTGGAGCACTGACTCGTAATGAGCACAGGCTGCCGTTTGTCACTTTCTCCTGAGAGACTTGCTGAAAAAGCAAAACGGGGAAAACTCTTGGAGGTTCCTGCTATGAATCCATCGTTTTTATTCCCCAGCAAAGGTGTCCAGCCATTAGATCGATGGAGAATAGCTATGAAGTTTCGGGGCACTACTTACATGCAGAAAAACGTGTGAAGACTGGAATCTAAATTCCTTCCCCAACACCACTGCTGTCTAATGCTTTTATCACACTGATGTAAATGACAGGCTGGTGTGTTAAGGGCAAAAGACTGTACTTTGTGCACAGTGTATTTTAGGTTGGCCTGTCATCTATGGATCTCAAGTCTGAATCTTTAAGTACCAGCTGTGGTGAAATGAATGGTATCCTTTCTCCCTTCCCACTCAAAGGCGTCATGGCCGCCCCCACAGGGGTGGGATAAGGAGTGGAAGGCTGAGAGGGCACAAAATGAATTCCACTGAGAGTTCCACAGGGGGAAGCCCTAAATCAGCGTCTGGTATGGCACCCTTATGCTCAGGACCTAGCTGGAGGCTGGGCTTACAGGTCGCCCCTTACATATAAGTAAAAATTGCCTTAGTGCCTCATGTATCATCTGTGATCAATGGCCTTTGACTAAGCTCTGAGGTGTCTGAGGATGTCTTCCTAACTCCATCCTGGATTGAAGGTGTCCAATTATTTCGAAATGTTTTTGTTCCAAATTAAAATAATCCAATTCTTGTTCTATTCTCTGAGATGCAAACTTTTCTATCATATTATCTCATTGATGCTTCAGTTGAAGCATTTTTATTTTACTTGGTTTTTGTTCAATGTATAAAGAAGCCTGGTGGAATTATTTTACATATGAGAAACAGGCCGAGTGCTGAAGGGATTTAAAAAGTTTCACATCTAGTTAGTGGGGCTCAAACTTGACATCAGGATTCCTAACGTCTCATTTCTTAGATATTTTAAAGATTAGTTTTGGCTTTCAAACAACTCCCTTTTTTTCCTTTTAGCTCTTTGTACCATTTCCCTAACTCATCTCCAAAAAAAGGCAAAATTCTCATTAAAGAATTCCTAATTGATATTTACAGTACAAATAACAAATTTTTTGTCATAACTTCTTGGCGTAAACCTTTAAGAATTTGGCTGTTGCTACACAGGAGCAAATTTCCAGATGTGGGACTCGGAAGTGGATGGAATTGAATCTGGGGAAGGGATTATCCTCACAGGAGCATAAAAACTCAGGGTTGGAAGGGATTTTATAGTTCACAGGGTTTGACCTTTAATCTCTGCTTCCATCCCAGTACTTGGGAATGTTTTATTCTTCATACACTGAAATCACAATTTTTTATCATCTTTACCAAATGTGCTAGTATTAACTTAGGTAAATCTCATGCTGACCTATGAAGTAGGCACTCTTACCAACCCCGTTTCACAGATGGGAAACAGGCTCAGAGTGGTGAGGGGGTCTCCCTGAGGTCACTCAGCTTGGGGTTAAACAGGAGTCAGGATCTGAAATCTGGCAGTTGGGCTCCAGTCTAAGCTCTTAACTGCTTTATATTATATTATGTTGCTCCATAAAATGGAAACGAAGGAAAAGGAGGGACTGAGGTTTGGCAGCACAAGTCCAGCAGATAGAAATATGAAAGGGAAGCAGCTGAGTCTAGTGGAAAATCCAAAATTTTAGGAATTGGGCAGGAGTCAGAGGCAAAGTATTTCAAAGCCACATGGGACCTGAGACAACCTGGTCAACCCTGTGTTTTTGGTGGGTGTCTGTGCCGTTAGACCTTGGCATCCTCCTGACTGAGAGAGACTCAACCGTGGAACAGCTCATAGACTGAATTTTCAAGGACATACCCAGCAATCAGTCCCGTAAGCACTGTCTACCTGGAATATTGATACTTGGGGTGGTTTTCAGAGGTGTGAATGGAAGAATCGGAGCCACACATCAACAGTGTGTGTGTGTGTGTGTGTGTGTCTGTTTCTTGATCTGTTTCTGGCACATCGTTTTGGTTGCCGTTCAACTCAAGCAGAAAATGTTTCCAAGCCCCCACCCCAACACACACCTTCTTGTCTCTGTTTCCTGGGACCCAAGAAATGACATAGGGATCGGAATCAGGGCCCACCCCACAGACAGAATGAGAAGGTGCCTTCTTCGGGTTTTCCTCGCACCCTGTTGGGTCCTGCGTGTAGAGAGCTCAGGGTGGTCACACATGCAGCATTTCCGTCAGACCTAAATGCTACACGGCCCTCCCCTCCAGCTTTTTAAAAAAATCTTGGCTGATTTCATCAGTTCTTCTGTCTTCAAATCGATGTTGCCCAAGTTTTACACTGGGAACATGGAAAACTTTCTTAGGGCTGCTAGAACAAATTACCACAAGTTTAACAATTTAGAACAATACAAATTTATTATCTTACAGTTGTGGAATTCAGAAATCCGAAATGGGTTTCTTGAGGCTAAAACAAAGATTTTGGAGGCTGTAGTGGAGAATCCCACTTCCTTGCCTTCCTAGCTTCCTGAGGCTGCCCCCGTTCCCCGGCCAGTGCCCACCGCCTCTCTCTTCAAAGCCAGCGTCTTCTGATGGCACACCTGCCACTCCTGCTCCCATCTCTGACTTACAGGGAGACTTGTGATGACACTGGGTCCACCCTGATGACCCAGGACAGTCTCCCCATATCACGGTGTTCAATCGCATCCACAAAGTCTCTTTTGCCATGTAAGTTAGCCTAGTCCCTGGTGCTGGGAATGAGGGTGTGGATCACAGAATACACGGGCCGAGCTCCTGTCTCTAGGGCCCCCCTCTTCCCCCCATCTCCATCCTGCCCCACACCTCCCCTTGTGTACAGGGTCTGCCCCTTCACCTCCAGCACCTCTCCCCAGTTCTCAGGGCCTCCAGCCCAGCACCCGTGACCCGGCAGGAGTCTCCTTCCCCGACCCCAGCCCCCGAGGCAGCCTGTAGTGCTCGGTTCCCTTCCTCTTCGTTCCCTCTCCCCCCCCTCCCCCACCAGCCCAGCCTCCCAGTGGCTCTCTAAAGGAGAAGCGCAGAGTTATTGCTTTTTAATTACAAGTGCTATTGTAACATCTATAAGGAAGAGCACTTTAAGCTTAATTGAGACCAAATGTGAAGTTAAATTAAATGAATAACTAATTAACGTAATGCTCCTGCATTAGCCCCAAGTGAGCAACGAAGCCCAGAGAGAAGGCAGGTGGGAGGCTTCTGGGGAAGACTCAGTGCCCAGGGCTGAGCGGGGCAGGGCCTTGGGCCTGGCAGACAGTGCAGAGGGCACTCAGGGCTGGGTCCAACCTTTGCTGCTCTCCCCCAACTCCCACCTACAGCTCGAGTCCTCCTTTCAGAGGCCAGGCTCTGAGCTGCCACAGGCCTTCTGCACGTCTGCGGTGCCTCCCTGGGCACCAGCATGAGCCGTGGTGCCCTGCTCATTTTCCAGTCCCTGTCCACGGGTTGGGGGATTGATAACCATTCCCGCTCCCCCTCACCTCCTCACAGGACCCGCCTAAGTCCTCTGCACTCTTCCTACACGCCTGTCACACTCATCCCTCCACTGCCCTGGGGTCACCCTCCCACGGCCCCATCCCTTCAGGGCTGGGCTAATGGGCGACAAGGCCTCCTGGCCGCAGTCACTGTTTCTAGGGTTTTTTCTTGTATTGTTTAGAAACATTTCCATGTTCCTATTTTATCCTACTAAGACAAACTCCTTAAGGGTAGGGAGTGTGTTTAATGCTGACTTACCCTCTTCACACCAGTCCTCTGAAGTAGGTAATGTCAGTACTATTTTCTAGATGAGGAAACAGGCTTATAGCAGCTGGTAAGTGGTGAGGCGAGGGTGGAGACAGGACCAAAAACACTATTCCACCCTTCCTACCCCGACCTGTCTGCAGCCAAAGATGGAAAGTTGACAGGTGAAAAAAACCTCTGGGTTTCCCTCCTGGAAGCAGGTGCTTGCAGGGCACTTGGGGCCGGACCGTGGGATTGTAGCGCCATCTCGTGGCTCCCCTTGGTGTAACCTCAGATACATCTGGTTGCAAGAAGCCTTCGTAAATGCTGAACCCAGTGCCAATACTGCCACTCCTGCCCTGGGGTCCTCGGGACTTACAGGTCCCTGTCTGACTCCAGCTTTCAAAATCAGTGCAGCAGGCAGTGTGACCACCTATCCATCACCACCGGGGTGCCTATGACCTATCTCAATGTCGAGCAGTTTGTATCCAGCCAGTATCCTAGCACACAGCATCCCGGTTAACTGTGTTCGTATGGGGCTCATCAGTGCTGTCGCGAGCATTTCCTCTGGGAATGCCGACTGTGACCACCACCAGCACACCACCCCTGTGGTCCTGGGACACGGCTCCACCAGCCCGGGGAGCCCCAGCTTGCTGCTGCCATGCCAAGGGCTGGCAAGGATGAGCACAGGTGCAGCTGGCAAGAGAAATATGTGCTGGCCCGGTGGGCAGCTCCAGAGGTCAGACAGAAATGCCAGGATTTAGCCTAGCATGCGGTGCTCCAGGACACGGGGAGGCCAGAATCAGTACCTGAGCAGCATAGGTGGGCCACGTGGGCTGCACAGAGCTCCTGGCGGCTACATGGGAGCAGCTGCTTGCAGAAACCAGGCACTATCCTCTTCCTAGTCTTGTCACGCTGGTGCCTTACGCTGAGGGCCTAGGGCCTCTTTCTGTGTCCACTGTCAACTCCATTCCCACAACAGAGATGGCCTTCAGGAGCACTTGGTGACCACTGTCACTTCATTATCAGAATACTTGATACAAGCAGATGCTTTTAGTCACACCCCCACCCTCACCTTGCCGCACTGCCCTGATATGGGCACTGGGCCCGAGGGGAGGGGAGAGGCCCCAGACGGACACTCCCCAGACGGACACTTCCCTAGCTTGTGCCCCTGAGGCACCCCCCTGCCTGCCCTAGTCCTGGCCCTGGAGGCTACAGAAATAACACTTAGAGCAACACAGGTCAGGAGTTCGAAACAGAATGAAATGGAGGGTGGGAGAAAGTTCCAACGTGGGGGAATGCGCAAGGAAACTGGCTCATGGACAAACGGATGAAGATAGCTTGGGCGGCTCCAAAACAGATAGAAACCCACCTCCGGGTGCAGGCTGATCAGAAGCTCCAGTGTAACACGGGAGGAAAGAGGCACCTTGCCAGGCCTTGGCCCTTTTGAGCCTCTGCCTTCTGCCTTGGAATCTGAACAAGCGAGAGTCTGAGCAAATCCTTCCCTTATCAAGAGGGAGACGCCACTCAGCTCTGATCCCTGCTGCTGGCGGCCTCCAGAGCTCAAGCCCTTGAGTCTTCCATTTCCTCATGTTGGCAGTCCCCTTCCCAGGGAGAATCTCCCAGCCGCTCTGCGGCCCTGTGGCTGGGCTGGGCTGGGCTGGGCTGGCTGGCTGGCTGGCTGTCTCCACTGCCTTGCCCAGGAAGGGCACTTTAGGACCCAGCTGGGGTCCTCCATGCTTCTCTGCCAATCCAGGCCTCATATTTCTTTATACCTGAATGAGAAGGACAGAGGCGATGGAAGAGAAAGTGAGACACAGGTCACTAAGCAACTGCCCCAGTGGTGGGGACAGGGAGGGCAGGCCCCGAGTGCCCACAATAATTGCCTTTCATTCTGTGTTCTGTAATTAGGGCCTCCTTTCACCAGTTCAGCAGGCACCAGCATACCAGCATAATATTCAAAGCTTTCCGATGTTTGCACCACGTGTGCCAGCTTTACATAGCAATAGCACGCAGCCATCTCATCTCAGCCCCAGATCACCCCTGTCAGGTATTCAGGGGTAAGCATGCCCATTTTACACAACAGGATGCAGAGGCTCAGAGAATAATGCCCAAGGTCTCACAGGCGACAGTGAGCAGAGAGGTCTTTTCCGAACCTGGCGCACCCTGTGCCCTGGCCAGCTCTCCCACTCCCCCCGCGGCCTTCCACAGAGAAGGACCAGCACAGGACAGCAGCTGTTCAGAGGAAAGCATCTGGCTCTGCAGGGACGAGCTGAAGGCCGCAGCATATTCCATGAATTCTGAGCCTTCATTCTCTCACCTCTCATCTCAAGTTGCTGAGAGGTAAGCTAATATTCCTGTATAACAGCCAGACCCAATTCCAGGCACAGAGCCGATGCTTACTAAATATTCACTTTTCTCCCCTTTCTGCTGCTTTCCTGCCCCTCCCACCTTCCCTCAGGCCAGGCCCAGGGAAGGAGGTAGAAGGAGCCCCAGCGCCCCTGCCCCCTGCCCCAGGGCAGGGCGCCCTGGGAATGCCTCGTGCTCCTGCTTCCTGTTCTCCCACTGAACCTCGAAGACGCCTCCTTGAAAGGAAAGTGCATCCCCAAATACTGTGCTGGTTACCATGACCCCGGAGAGGGTCTCCCCACATTCACCATCCAGACCAAGCTCCTCATCAGCAGGAGCCTCCTGCTCAGGAGAGCCAGGAAGTCCACGAGACAGTGCTGCCCGACCTCAGCCCCGGCGCACAGGCCGGCCTCTCGCGGACCTGCCTCAGCCACTAACCACCTCAGCTGCTGACCTGTCTGTGTGGCCTCGCGCCCACCACCACTGGGCAACAGGCAGACAGCACACCAGTCCAGCCACCAATGCTTGATTCAAATTTTGTTCCAGAGGCTTTGATTGGTAGTTGCTTATTTTGGAACACCCCAGGCAGAGGGGCCAGATGACCTTGGGCTGTGGATGTCAGGAGGTACTTGCAACTCAGAGTCTGAGCTCAGAGACAGAACTATTTCCCTTGACTCGGCCTCCTTTGCCCTGGGGATGCATCCAAAGCCCAACTGCTCACCCCAAGGAGAAGAGGCTGCAGCCTCAGTGGCATCTGAGTACCCCCAGGAAATGCTACCCAAGCACCACACTCGGCTTGGATGCACACCCTCTGGAACTGGCCCCCACGAAAAAAGAGATAGTCGGTAAAATCACACTGGAGGAGAGAGGATTTGCATGCAGGCCCCGGTCTCATGGCTCTAATTAGGCACAGACTTGAAGCAAATACTCACAAAGTCATGGGACTTGAGGAAATACTACCGCACGTGGGTTAGGACCAGACTAGAGCTATGGAGACACATGGGGACAACAGAGGACAGATTAGCAGGGCTGGGGGCCAGGCAGGGGTTCACAGTGCACGTTCCTGAGGTCTGGGCCTCAGCCGGGCTCCGGCCGAGTGCAGAGCACCTGAGCTGGTTCCGACTCCTGTAAGTGAGGCTGGGGCTATAGTGAGACTGGGGCTGTGGGCCTGCTCACCCTCTGTCTCTGCCCAGGGATGACTTCCAGGCCAGGATCTCTTTGTACACCAGCCGGCAAAGGAGCTGTGGGGAAACCGAGGCACAACAAAGAGAGGGCAACGTTAGCATGGAGCACGTGGCTAGTCCCCAGTGCTGGTGATGGGCGGGCTGGCAGGAGGGAAGGGGTGGGCACACAGTATTGTCTGGTGGCAGGTCACCCATGGGAGGTCAAGTGGTTCTGAGCAAAGGGCAGCTGTTCTCTTTGTCCCAGATGCCCTGGCAGCCAATGCTTTGGACCTCCAGACTTCTACCCTGGCAGGTCAGGACAGTCCCCCAAAACCCATCTGTGTGCCCCAGGAACTCTTACCAAGCAGGCAAGAACATCAGCAGAAATGAGCATGTAGAAGACATTGTTCCAGCCTGTGGGGGAAATGAGACCAGCCAGCAGGGGCCCCAGGGCTGCACCTATGGGGAGCACAGCGTCAGAGAAGGGCCCCTGCTGAGGGGCCCTGGACAACCCTCCCCGCGCATCAGCAGCCGTGCAAGGAGCGAGCCCAGGACAAGGCCAGGGCTCGGCTGCTGGGGCCGAGAGCCGGAGCCACAGACCTATGGAGCCCGTGCCGTCGATGATGGCCGTGACCGTGGACAGTGCCTTCGCGTTGCCCTTCAGACTCTGGTGAGTCCCCTGGGGAGAAAGCCGAGTGGGCAGCCCAAACCGAGAGGCAGCACCACCCCAGCCACTCCTCCCCAAGCTGTGTGTGGCGATGCACACACACATAGAGACAGGTATGCACGTGACTGCCCAGGACTAGGAGGGGACTGTCTCGGGAAGAGCAGTGACTGGGGCTTGGAGCCGACAGGAAAGGGGGATGATGGTAGACTCTGAAGGACTTCAAGGATCTCATCTCTGCAGGCCAGGGACGGGGATGGGCACATGGGGGGAATGGGCCTGGACACAGAGGCCCTGACCAGCCCCCCAGAGTGATTCCCTGGCCCCAGGGAGGCAGTCCCCTTACCAGGTCAGCTGAGACAGCAGTGGTGATCAGTGAGTACGGGCCGTTGACCAGGGCACCACAGACGATGAGCATCACTTGGACAGTAACAGAGATGCCTGGTCAGCCATGGGTGGCTACCATCAGCCTCAGCCCCAAAGCAGGGGAGACCCCAGGGCGTCAGGGCAGAACCTCTGCTCCCCTGTGCCTCCCTCCGATGCCCCCAAGGCAGCCTCGTGAGGCCCGGCCAGACTTGGAGCATCTCCTCACCTACGGAGTTAAGAATCCCACTCTGGCCAATGTGGTTGTACAGGAACATCTGAGGGGAAGAAGGGGAAGGTAGCGCCACAAGCAGGCTTCCCCAGGCACTGCGTCTGGAGCTGGAAGTGTGGAGCAGCCCTCCCCTGCCCTGGAAGCCCGGAGTCACCTCACTCCTTTTCCTTTTCACACCCAAACCTGTCTGTCTTTATCTGTCCCAGGGGAGGAGAGGCCCAGACATGGTAACTTATTGTGTCCCTTTCCCCAAAAAGTCTTCTCTCATATCTAACTGCAACCTCTTACCCTTCCCTGGCCAAGAAGTTTAGCGATTGGTCTCCCCCTTCTTCACCAAGGCCCAAGTCAGTACCCCTTCCCCAATGTCCCAGTCTGGCCCCTTTCCTGAGCCAGCCTCTTTCCTGTCTCCTCCCCAGGCTGCGCGCTGTGATGCACACACACACAGAGACGGGCATCTGCATACATGCCCAGGTGTGCACAGCGCGGTGGCCCACACAGCCACAGAGGCACACTTGCCCTTGAGGTCATACACACCATGGGGGCAGCCAAGATCAGCATGATGCAGCAGGTGGTGGCCCTACCATTGGTGTAGTCAGAGATGAGCCCTGCCATGATGCCACCTGGAACACAAACCAGCTGGCTCACTACTGCCCCGGGACCACAGCCTCCCTCTCACTGGCACCCCAGCTCTGCCCCATCACTCTGTCCATCACCAGCCTGGACCCGGGCATCCAGAACCAGTGCGGTTTCTCCTTCCAAAGCCCTCTGTACCCATCGCCTTTGAGAAGATCAAATGTAAAGGCCACATTCTGTAGGGCCACCCAGCTGAGCCTTCTTCTCTGATGCCACCTGCCCGGGTCACATTCCATTGGACTTTTCCCTTCTCTCTGCACCCCCATAGGAAAAACAGAGAATGAAGCTGGAGGCAGGGCAGGGCAGGGTCTCACCTACGATGCCACCAACATCAAAAAGTGTGGACAGGTCCCCAGAATCCTTGGCACTAAAGTGAGCTGTGGGAAACACAAATATGTGGTCAGACCTGGGGACTCAGGGCAAACATCTGTAGGGCCACAGACAGGAGAACTCCTTGGAGCCCAGATCCAGTCCCCTGCCTCCGTTTCAGAGGAAGGAGTGACGGCCCACAGGGAAGCGACAGGCCAGAGTCACCAGTGAGTTTGCAGTGCTTTGGGACTGGAAGCCCCTCCGGGTCCCCAACCCTGCACTGCCTTTGCCCCCTACAAGCTGGCCTTGACCTCTCAGGACAGCCTTCCCCTGACAGCTCAGGGATTTGGCCCTCGAGGGCCCTGTCCCACTGGGCCACCCCTACCCCAGGGCACAGCTGTCCTCATGGAGCCTCAATCCAACCAGCCCCCCTCCCACTCAGCAGGCCCCTGTCAGGAGCCTCCACGTCTGTGGAGCCAGGAAGGAGACACAGGAAAATGGGGACTTAGGTCCCCGGCCTTGCCCTAGGATTAGAAAAAGGAACGTCTAGAAGCTTGAACTGTAGCCTAGCCCTCAAGGTTGACTCATACTCTGATGTCAGCACCAAGGCCACAAAACAAAGAATCCCAGTGCCCACAGAGCTTTCCTGGCACTCTGCCACTGTCTTTGAGAGAGGCCCCACAGATGGAGCCATGGGGCAAGTTATGGCTTGAGATCTGATTCTGACTAATCCCCACAGGGCCCTGTTCAGAGCAAGTACAGTGCCTGGCAAGGCAGCCTTGGCCCTCCCCCCGGGCCTGGAGGAGCAGGGCAGCCGAGCAGGTGGGGAGGCCTGGGCCCTGGCTGGGTTCTGAGGCTGCACAGGGCTTTGGGGCAGGGGTGGCGGTCTGCTCCTTCATAGGGTAGCCGCCTCATCTCTGGAAAAGCAGTGACCCGGGCCAGGTAGACATAAACAACCTTTGTCATCTGTGAGAGTGGCCTCCCCTCATCTGGGGTGAGGGGGTAGGGACAGGGGAGCATAGGTGCACAAGGTGGGCTGTGCAACAGGCCCCAGCATAAGGCGACAACCCGGTGGGGCTCCCCGCAGCCCCTTCGGAGAGGAGAAATGATGAACGCCAGGCTCCCGGCAGTGGGGGGTAGCTCACGGGGCTCTCTCCCTCCAGGAGGCATTCAAAACGCAAGCCTCTCCTAGCCCCTCGAGTTCTGCCTTCTATAGCCTGGAGGTGCCTTCCTCCTATGCTTAAGGATGGAGAAGAAGTTAGGGAGGTTTACAGAACAGAGCTTTGAGTTCCTCACTCCCACCTCAGTTCCGAGGGAGGAAAGGTGGCTGCAGTCAGGGCCCAGGGTTTAGGTTTCTGCACTGCCCTAGGAGAGGTTCGCAGAAATCCTGCCTGGGCCCCGGATTCGAATGCATCACATGCAGGTTTCCTCTGCTTGCGGAAGAGGCCTTGGCCTCTGCTTCCTCACCGCCTTTCCCCTGGACTTACCCACATTGAAGATGTAGAGGGGCAGCCAGTAGAGGAAGGTGTAACTGACCAGCTTGGCAAAGAGCAGACACAGAGAGAACTCCACCACACCCTGGGGGGCAGAAAAGGGGGCATGATGGAAAGGGGTGGCTCAGCATCACCCAGGGTGCCCCACCACCTGCCACAAAAAGCAACCTCCAATGCAAGTGCCATCTCAGTAAAAGCAGTGTGCCTGCTGGTCAAATGCTGCATCAAAGCAAGCCTCCCGTGTCACCCTCCCCAAGAAAGCCACCGGCCCTCAGCATCTCAGATAAAGGAGTTCTGGGGGCCCCAGGTCGCCCTGAGCACCCCTTCTCCTGATATCCAACAGAAAAATCTGGGGAGCTTCTCTGTGCCTCCGTCCCACATATTCCTCACCGGGATCTGAAGTGCGCCCAGGAAGCTGATGGCAACGGGTTCGGCGTCCTTGGAACACCTGGACACCAGGCCACTCTCCCTGTTGGATGAAGGACCATTCCCAGGGTCCTCGGGGCCGTCCTCACTCTCTTCCGGCCCACCCTGAACAGAGACGAGCACCCGCTGTGGCCGCGTTCATAACCACCTCCCACCACTTGTGAGGGAGGGGCTCCCAAGCTGGAAGGGGTACGGGACCCTCTCCAGGCCTGGACTGTCCTCTGCTAACCCGAGGGCCTGACACTGGGCTGGGAGGTAACAGTGGGCACACAGCGTCTCCCCCAGCTCCCCAGTCCTCTCTGGGGGCAGCCCCTGAGGATGGAGGTGTGGGGCAGGGATGGAGCCTGGGCGCCGGCACTCACGTGGTGCTGAGGAGGGGTGCAGTCCACGTCTTCTGGGTCTGAAAACAAAACCCTCTGAGAAGCTTTCCAGAGGCCAGACCCCCACCTGCTCTGAGCCTAGCCCAGCCCCAAGATGGCCTGCACCCTTCTGGCCCGCAGGAGCCGGGGCTGGGGCTCAGGAGACCCCCTTCTGGGCCCGCCTCTGCCAACAACCAGCCGCGTGGCTGCTGCCCTGCGGGCTTTCACCTTCTCCGGACAAAGTGGCCACACAGCCTGCAGGCCCACTGACAGCAGGCCTGTCAGGCAGGGGCAAGAAGGCCGCAAATGCCGTGACTGCTCACCCCCGGGGGTCCCATCGGCCCACCTTCCCCTCCTTCCCCCGGACACCCTGGGCCGGGCACCCTCCCAGTGGTTCACTTAAACCTTGCCCGGCCCCAAGAAGCACATGTTCACAGACGAGAACGGGGATCCTCCGGAGTCATACACCCGGCCCCCAAGCCCACCAGCCGCAGCTGGGCTGCGCCAGCCACCGCCCTCTCCCGGCGCCCCTGAGACTCACACTCGATGAGGAAGAGGAAGGTGACGATGCCCATGGTGGCGGTGATGGCGCCTGGCACCACGAACGACAGGCCCCACTGCTCGTTCACCCACACGCCGGCCAGCAGGGAGCCCAGGATGTTGCCCACAGATGTATGCGAGTTCCAGACGCCCATGATGAGGCCCCGCCTGGAGGGAGGGCGGGCGGGCAGGGACAGAGGGACAGGGGCGGGCAGGCAGGAAGAGAAGCACGGGGCTCATGGCGGCTGCCCCGCGCAAACGCCGGCTGCCCACAGTCTCCACGCCCGGAGACACTGGCCAGGGCGGAGGCCGGGGCCTGGCTGGTGGTGTGCAAGTGGCCATAAGGCCTGGGGCCCCGTTGCCCTCAGCCGGCAGCCTAAGCCAGCACACACGGGGCCCCCGACCGAGCACCCGCTACCCTGAGCCCCATGCCCCTTCTTCTCTCCTGCCCCGCGGCTGCCCCTCTAAGGCACCAGTCCTCAACCTGGGGCAAGGCAGGCCCTGGGAGCCGTTGGCAATGTCTGGACACGTGTGATCGCCATGCTCTGGGTGGACCGCGGGCGCCCACTGGGTGGAGGCTGCTGGGACAGTGTGGAGGACAGCATCCACAGCAAAGAATGACCAGCCCCAAATGCCAGTAATGCCACGGCGGAGAAACCCTGCTCTAAAGCAACTTTTTTTTTGCACAAAAGCCAGTTTTAGGAAAAAGAAAAAAACTTCATAGGCTTCATGTTTTTAGTCTTCATGCAAAGTGAAACTTCATCTATTATGAGGAAAGAGTATAATTTAAGGTTGTCTGTTTTATAGGTTCAAACCGTAATGAGAAAATCAGTACTGCTTTTTAATCACTAAAACTTCCGTATCTCAGCCAAGTGGAAGTCAGTGAGATGGAAGCAGGTTTCCAATCTTTCACCCTGGAACCTTATCAGGGGCCACGAGAGAGCTCCTCACCTCCGAGACCCCCCAGGGCACCACCCCACCTCCTCCCTTGTCACACTCACTTCCCCTTCCCGAACCAGTTGCCAACGCAGCTCACCACAGCGGGCCAGCCTGTGGTCTGGGCAAGTCCGTTACAGATCTGCAGGGAGACAGGACAGGTGGGATGGGCCTGGGCCGTGCTGCCAGCTCCCTGCTCGGAGCCCGCTCCCAGCGCACACGGCACACCCCTGCCTCGCACACCCGACTGCTGCAGGTGATTTCTCCTTGACCCATGATCCTTCACCGCCGAGACCCAGCCTCCCAGGCATCTCATGCGACCCCAGGGTCGTGCTCAGTGCAGACTTACTGAGCAAACAAAGGCCTGACCTCAGGAAGGGGGAAGGAGGGCCCCGTGGAGCATAATGGAGGAACCCTGGACTGGGAAGGAGGCCTTCACAGCCTGAATGAGCCATGACTTGGGGACAGGTGGGAAGGTCTCCAGGGTCTTTCTTTGATGGGAATGGAGACTGAGAGCAAGGCGGAGGCTCGTACCTGGATGAGCACAAAGTACCAGAGCACATGGATGTTCCAGAAATATCCCAGGCCAAAGAGTGAGGTGAAAAGGCCACTGAGCAGCATGCCAGTTGAAAGGTAATAACGGAGGGGGAGCCGCTCCCCAAAAATGCCACTGGAGGAGAAGGGGGGGTCTGTGGTTAATATCTCTGCACCCCCTCTGCCATCTATTTCCTCTCCCTTCGTGCCCCTGAAACAACTCCGGCCAAGGGAACCACGACTGACCTCTGATTCGCCACATGCCAGAGACACTGCAGCCCTCTAGCCACTGGGCTTCTCTGCTTTATCTGGCACTGCTGGCCACACCCCTGGAAATGCCCTCTCCCTGGCCTCCATGACATCACTGTCTCCCATCTTCCACCCCGTGGCTGACCACTCCTCCCGTATGATCTCTGGGGAGTGGTCTCTGGCATTACATTCACGGTTTTAACTGCCACCGGTATGTTAAGTAGCTCCAACAGGTTGTCCGCAGTCCTGAACTCTCCCCGCTTCAGGAGCGCGTCCCTCTGGCGACATCTTGACCTGGATGTCCTCAAAACACTTGCATGTGAACTCCTCGCCCTCCTTCTCCTTCTCTGAGTGAGTGGCACCACCATCCTTGGCCACTCAAGCCAGAGACCATGGAGTCTCCCTCCTCTCCTTCCTGGCCCTCATGTTCAACCTCAGGACCCACCTGTTGCCCCTCCTAAGCAGCTGTCCAGGTGCCAGCTCTTTCCCATTCTTGAATTCTATTGCTCTAACTCAAGCTCTCTTCAAAGCTCACCTGGCCATTATCAGCTCCTCCTGAGCATGACCAGGCCTGTGGTCTTGGCCTCCCCCAAATCTACCCACCGTGGGAATGATACGAAAAGCATATGAAATGCAAATCTGAACACGACACCCCTGGGTAAACACTCTGATGGCTCTCCTGTGCCCATGGCCTGGCCCACGGTGACCTCATTCTTCAGTCACATCTCCTGCTACTACTTCAAGATTTACACCCTGGTAGACCTGCTAGTAGTCTGTCAGGCCTCTTCCTCGCTGCCAAGCCCAATTTCTCTTCCTCAGTTCAAGTGGCATCTCCTCCAAAAAGCCTTCCCTCCCCTCTTCTCTGATCCTAGCCCAGACTAAGTGACCACCTCTGAGCCCCCAGACTCCCTGCAGCCACCTCTGTGTTTTGTAACTAGCTGCCCATGTATCAGGTGGCTCCATTAGGCTGGGAGCTCTTTGAAAGCAGTACACTGCCTAATGCACCTCCGATTTCTGGCAGCAAACACCATGCCTGCTCTGCTAATTTAGGCCCAGCCCAGGACAGGGGCTTTCTTGGCCATCTTTGCATCCGGGGGGCCATCCTTGAAGGATCCCAGTTCGGCACAAGTCATATTCCAGCCACACCCCTGACACTGCCATCTGAGTGAATAAACTCAGAAGGAGCAGCCAGGGGTGCCTTTCCAGGTAAAAGGGCCACTCAAAGGGGCAGGCTGGGTGACAGTGGTAGGGGAATGAGGCTGGCCGTGGGCGAGTGAACGTGCTTCCCCATGTCCGGGAAGGCAGCAGCTCTGCACCCTCGTCCTCTGGGATGGCCACGGCCTGCCTCTCTCTTACCTGATAAACATGCCGATGGCATAGGCCACGAGGAAGGCATTGTCCACAGCCCCCAGCAACTCCTTGTAGTTGCTCTTGTCTGAAAGCAGACAGGAGAGACAGAAAGCCAGATGCTTGGCAGCCCCTGAAAGAAGTCCTCTCTTGCCCTGGACAACCGCTTCCTGAGGAGGGCGCTTGCAGGGTGAGCAACGGCAACCTGCCCTCTTCTTACCAAATGGAGCCCAGTTGCACCACGTGCTGTCATTGAGACTGTGGGAGTCATTGATGGGCTTGATCAGCTCCGAGCAGTTCTGGTGCAGACGGCTCTGGGGAAGACACAGATGCACAGGTCGGGCATCAGCTCGTGGCCCCACAGCCCACCCAGCCCTGAGAGGAGCAGGCAGCCTCCCTCCCCGACTGCATCAGCATCTCTGCCTCCTTCTGGCACCTCCCCCTGCGGGGACCAGCTGCAGGGACAAGTGGTCACATCACATCCTCGGTGATGCGCAAAGGAGTCTGTGAGCAGAGCCCATTTAGCCAGGGGCTCTCTCCTTCCACCCCCAGCCACGACACTGCTGTCTCCGTGAATGAATTCCAGAGGTGTTCCTAGGGGCCTTTCCCACAAAAGGGTTACTAGAGGTCAGAGTCGACCAGCTGGAGGTGTAAACTCAGTGGCCATGGCAAGGGAATGAGGACAGTTTGGGGCCAAGTTCTAGGCTCTTCTACCAAAGTGCATTTCTCCTGGGGCCCAGCATCTCCTATACTCTTCCTTAGCACCAGGCCAGCCTCACCTTGACGACACTGATGGGCTTCCTGGACATATGGTAACAGGTATAAATGAAGAAGGTGATCAGCAGGATGAAGCCTCGGAACCTGCAGGAACAGTCGGGCGTCTGGGTTAGCAGGAAGTCGGGCTCCAGCCGCAAGCTTGGACCCTGTACCCACCTGTTCCCACTCTGGCAGCCCCAGGCCTCAGCACCTCCAGCTGTCTACCTAGGCTCCCCTCCAGGCACAAGTTCTGTGGGACAGAAGTCAAGGGAAGGGGAGGAACAGATGCCTAGAGGCCAGAGTGTTTGGGGAGCCCAGTCTCCTGAGGCTTTCCGATAGGGCTGGCTCAGCAACTGCAGATGGGGGCAGGGAGGTAGAATCATTTTTAAAATACCAGAAACAGTGGGAGCAGGCAGGAGGAGAAAGGTCTGTCTTTAAAGTGAGCTTGGTACTCCACTTAAGCCCAGAACCTGCAGAAATAGCCCGTAGTTGGAAATGTGGCAACAGTGAGAAAGCTGGTGAGCGGGTCCACATCTTCTTCCTAGGTTCAGTCTGTCCGTCCCCCTGGACAGAAGGGTCATCCTTTCCATCAGTGGCTCACACATCACATGTGCTGTCGCCCAGCCCCCATTTCTCATCCCATGCACTTGTCTGTGATGGAAAGAACAGTTCAGCCAAGCACCTCTCAAGTTTCCACTGCATGCACCCCCAACTCCTCCTCCCAAAGGTCTGGGGAAGGGCCCCCATGGCTGCTTGTGTCAGTGTCTGCCTCCCCAGTGGAACGTCAGCTGAGCTGAGTCAGCAGCCAGGAGCCAGGAAGCACATGGAAAATAGACCTCCAAATGGACCCCTCACCCAGAAGAAAGGACTGGAGATGGCCCAGAGCCCTGGTTTACCAAAGGTCTCATGGAGAAGGGTAGGCTCCAGGAACCTAGGGGGCAGGACACTGCAGGCTCACTCTGACCTCTTGGTGAGTCCGTCTCCAAACCCCAAACTCACTTCCCCCAAATGCATCATGAGGGCTACTGGTTGTGACATAAAAAGGAATTTCAGCAGAGCCTAAAATAGGTTGGGCTACCGGGCCCCTTCCCACTTCAGCCCTGAACTCATGCTTCCCACCTGGCTTCTCTGTCTCTGTCTCTCCACTGCCCCCCAGCACGTCTTCTTGAGAGAATGATGTCATATGTGCCCCTTCCATTACGTGGCTTAGAACTTTGCAGTGGCTCTCCATTCTGTCAGGAACAAAGTCCCAACTATTTAGTCTGGATTTCATGCTCCTCTACAACCTGGCCTCCGCTGGGCATAGGTAGGTCCAGAGGTCCTCCAGGGACTGAAGTTCCCCAGGGCATCGGGGTCACTCTGAGTGCCTGACATCAGAAAGTCTGGAGGTGTCCCTGTTTCCTGGGTCCCACCATTTGGCTTACGGCTCATGACTCCTAGTTCACGGGCTTGTAGAATCTGAGGGAAATTCTCTGGGAGAATTTGAAGAGGGTGCCCAGCTGGCCTTCAAAGAGCAATAGCTGGAAGAAAACTACAGCCCAACAGATAACACCGACCCAGGGCCCTTCCAGGAAGCTGCTGTCCAGGAAAAAGCTGTAAGCTTGTGGTGATGCCTCTAATTTACTGTGTAGCCAAATGCAAGATCCTAAATCTTTGTTGCCTGTGGCTTCCTCCTCAGTGGCCCATGGTGACAGCACCAGCCACGTGCATCTCAAAAACCAAAGAAGACACTGCCACTCTCACCTGAGCCCCTGGGTCCCTTTGTACCACCCTGATCTAGACCTCCAGGATTCAGTTGAGCCTACCCTGGCTGCCCTGTGGAGGTAGCCACTGACCATGGTGACAAATCTGATTTCCCTGGGCCTGAAAGATCCGTGAGGCCCCACTGAGGCTGTGGCTCTGACTGTTCCATAACGAGCCTGGCAGGGAGGTGCTTGCTAGCTATGGAGCCGGTCGTTGCCTGGGAAGCCAGGTTACAACTCAGCAGACATGCTCAGCCCTCTCAAGAGCTGGTCAGGGCCCATGAGGGGCCCAAAGGTACAGCCCAGTCACCAGCCACCCTTCTCCACTCCCCACTGCTACATTGCTTCAAACCTGAGCTATAGGACCAGCCTCCCAGGGGGCACATCAGCCTACCCTCCCTCCATGTTCTCCTGCCTGTGGCCCCAGGTTTCTTCCTTCGCTGCTCCATCCCCCTTCCATCTGGTGTCCCCTCCCCCCAGTCCTGAGTAGGACGAGCTGAGCTAGGGTGGCAGACACCTTCCTGCCCATTCTGGCCTCCTGATTCTTTCCAGCAGAAATAAGACTGCGCTCCCATCCACATCAGCCCATGTGCCTACCACGTGCCAGGCCCTAGCTAGGGATCCACACATAAGCAAGAGAAATCGTAAGAGAGGTCTCTGCCCTCCTGGGACTCCCAGGTCAGTGGGGAGATGGCCAGGATTGGTGCAGCCACATTCTGAAAGATGCCACCCTGAGTGACATAGAAGCACAAAGGAGGGACACAGAGCCCAGCTGGGATGGGAACCGGGTCAGAATTCCTGCAGGGGAGGCTTTATGGGATCTTCAAACACAAGCAGGAGGTGGCCAGCCCTACCAGGGCTAGGGCAGGAGGCGTGCACCAGGGAGACGGCACTGTGGGGGCACTACCCACCTGGGGAACTCTGCCGGGGTCAGGGTATCTGGAAGGCAGGCCTGAGCCAAGCAGAGAAGGGAAGTGGCTGGGAAGGAGGCAGGGCCCAGATCATGCAGGGCCTTGGGTCCCACACTGTGGAGTCTAGACCAACTCAAGGGTGAGGGAAGTCACCAAAGGGAGTTGGGATTTCCTAGGTCAGAGAGTTCTGGAAACCTCCCAGGCTAAGCCAGTCAAAGACCCAGGGCTCTTTCCTGTGGATTATTTTGGGAAGCCCCAGAGAGGCTTCCCCGCAGAAGGAAGGATGCCTTTCCCATCTTGCCAGCCACTGCATAGGCACATGGCCTATGGTAAGGGGACCCTGGGGGATGCCTTTCAGGGAGCTGGTGTCTATAGGAGCAAAGAGCAAGGACTTAGGAATCAGGCAGAACTGGTTTCATTCCGTAAACCTGTTTGCTCATCGGAAAGTAGAGAGTTTATCACCCTTCTCATAGGGTTACTGACAGGTTAATGAGATGCAGCACACAATAGGCCTAATGTTCCTGACACCCAGTGGGCACTTAAAATGACAGCTAGTATCATTCCAAATTTTCTCATGAGGAAGAAGAGCTGGAGGGGGCTGAGGCCACCTGGCCGCTCCGTTATGGGAGACAGGTGGGGATGGGATCGGCACGGAACTCCTCTGTGTGGCGGGGACTCCGGCCCTGGGTGTCTCTGGGAGGGAGGGATTTGGGAACCACCATGGCCTCCTCCGCCCAGTTCCCCAGTACACATACCTGGGCTAGATGGACACAAAGATGCCCTGAATCTGCTGGTGTCGTCACCTTGCCTGGGGCAGTTTGGTTGCCTGTTCAGGGCCTGCCGTGGGGCAGAGCAGACACCTGGCCTGCGGTGGCCTCCCTCAGGAGCTCATGGGGAGGATCAGCAGAGGTCCACACTGACATCCTGCCTGTGAGATTCCAGCCCTGTCTTCCTCCAGGGGCCCAGCCTGACCTTTCTCCTCACTCTGGCCCCAACCCCCCGTAGAAAACTGACACCCAAGAGAGTCATGACTCCGGGGGAGGGGAGGAGGGTGACAGGAGTTCCTCAGATGTGCTGTGTGACGCTAGGCCTGGCGTTGCCTCCTCGGGGCCTTCCTGCCTGGACTCCAGGGAGATGCATGGATGAATGAGCTCAGAGTCGCACAGCCAGCTGGGCAGAGTGCACTTGGAGCCAGGCCTCCCCTTCGTCCAGTTCTCTTCCCATTCTGCTTTGGCAGCTGTTTCTGATAAAAAGGTCGAGATACCACAGTTCAAAGGGGTTGGGGAATGTTGGTCAGGTTATGGCTGGTCTAAGCTGAGGCCAAGGCTGCCCAACTCACAGGCGCTCACAGGAAAGAGCGACGGGCCCATGCGTGGGGAACCGCAGGTTTCAGTTCTCTTCTCACTGGCCCTCCTTCGAACCAAGAGGCCCCAGACAGGGAGCAGGCAACGTCTACACAGCTGGCCTCGCCTCACTAGCCCCAGGGTGGCAGGTGGCTGTGAGCAGGAGGACAGCAGCTGAGGGGTGGGCCCGCTGGGCAAGCAGGCCAGGGACCAAGGAACGTGCCTGGCAAGGCCCCCAGACTGCTCCAGGTGGGGCTGGCTGCCCTGGGACCCTCCAAGTCTTTGTTAGCAAGAAGGGGCATTTCTGAGAGTACCACCTGACCCTACCTGACCCTACCTGACCCTGCCTGACCCTACTTGACACTGGTTACTGAGTAACCAGGTCAGATAGAGAGGTGAACTAGCTATATCTTAACTACTGGCTGACAGTCCAATTTATTTTTTGAAGGAACATATTAATAATAGTTTTATCGATCTTGTTAAGACTTTGCACTAGGAATGCTTCTCAGGAAAGATCAAGGAACGAAGTACCCCACAGCAGCAACAGATAAAAAACAAACAAAAACCCCAACAGACCTACTACCACCACCAGCATAACAACCGAAACAAACAAGAAACAGCACGGCAGAGGGTGGTGGCCTTAGGAGCTGGTGGGAAGAGGCCCCTCCCTGGGTGGCTTCCCAGTCACCCCCGAAACCCTGCGTCCCGCTGCCTTGCTTTGCAGCCACATTGCTGACAGTCCCTACCTTCACATAAGGCACTTGAGGTCCCCCTTCAACCAATCCCCACCACCCCCTGCCTCAACGAGGGCTGCTAGTCGAGGTCTAAGGCTACTCCCGTGGCCACGTGGCAAGCCGGGCTGCTGTGGCTGCAGGTGATCTTGGCACTTGCCCTGAAGAAATGGACTTGGTGACCTGTCCTTGGATGCCTGTTCTGGGACTCAGCAGATCTGCAAAGAACAGAGGACTGGGGATAATAAGAATGAGGCCAGTGGTTAGGGTGCCACCGCCCCATGCCACTGGGAGACATTCTGGAGACATCTGACCCGCCTGGAACAGACCCCGCAGGGCAGAGCCCTGAGCCAGGCCTTCAGCAAACAGCACGGGACAGGGACAGGTCAGGTCTGGGACAGCCCCTGAGGACTGAAGGCACAAAGCCCTCTTGGGGCAGAGAGCCAGCCCAAGGAATCTCTGCTTCTCTAGCTGGGACTCAGGCACCTGCTCAGAGATCAATTTGACTCAGGGCCTGGCCCCAAAATCCTTCCCAGAGAAGGAAACCATTGGCTAGTAGCCACAAGAAGCCCAGGACTTTATAGAATCAATGTGTAGATAAGATAATGATCATTTTTCAGGAAAGAAGAGAATACAGGATAGATGGATAGGCTTTGAGAAGGAAGCTGACTAGGGGAACCCTGCGTGCTCAGACAGAGTGAAAAGACATGGCTTTAAGCCGCAGTAGGAGGTTTATTCAGGCACTGGAGTACCTTTGGAAGAGTGTGGGAACTGCTGGGCTTGGGAAAGGTGGTCAGGAGGGATCAGGCAGGTCTCTCTTCTGAATTAAGGCTAAGCAACAGTAGATGGACACGTTCTGAAGATGGCCAAGCTGTAACCCTGCCCAGGAAGGAGAGATGACAGCCTCCCTCCCAGGATTCTCTGGTGGCCTAGCCCCTGCCTCACGCTCAGCCACACCTCTTCCTGAGCAGGAAGGACCTGGAGAAGAGGCCTGACCCAGAGGCCCGTGAAAGCAGCAAGGCCCCCCCACCACACCAACTCTGGGGCAATCAGAGAGGAGGGGGTCACAGGCTTTAGGGACTCAGTCCCCGGAGTCTGTTCCCAATTCTGGTGTTAATGTTGGCACAGCTCCACGCCAACCTCGGCACTCAGCTCAACTAGAAGAAATAAGGCCTGGGCGAGCCGTAGAGGCCATTCCCAAACCCTGTGACCTCTTGGACCAGTCCGGGGATCCTGAGTCAGACAGCCCCATCCAACCCCAGGGAGGTACACCCCCGCCTGCACTGTAAGAAGGGAAAGAGGAAACGGCAGGGAGGAAGCAGCAGGCAGGATGGGGGGGTCAGCAATCACGAGGGTGGGGGTGGGGAGCACCCAGGTCACATGGTCTGCACACCAGCCCTGATCTCCAGGAGCAGAAGGGGGTGGGGGCAGGGATAAAAGGCTCTTCCGCGGGGCCTGTCCTGCCTTCCCACGGCCGCCTCTCACCACCCTAGCGCGATTTAAGGAGCCTTCCTGCTGCCCTCACCAAGCACCTGTTCGCAGTCACCAGGAAAACAAGACAAAGTCCCCCACGTGGCATCGGGGGCCCTGATCCGAGGTCACTGCAGCGTAGGGGAAGGACATCAGTCTTGGGCTGAAGACGCTGAGTCTTGTTTCTGTCCTGCTGCTCACTGTGGCCTTGGGCCAACTGTTTAACGTCTCTAAGCCGACTTTGCTTTTCTTTAAATAAGATAATCACAGGATGGTTCTAAGGATTAAATGAGATGTAATGGATATGAGAGCGTCTGGCACACAGCAGGCTCTTGGAATGGATCTGAGTGCCTTCTCACATGTCTTTTTCCAAGGTGGGTGCTAAGGTCTGGCAGCAGGAGCCCCCAGAAAACTCATCCTAGCTGCAGCCCCCTGCCAGCCTTGGTCTTCCCACCCGACGCAGGACGACGAGGGTTTGGGGAGAAACAGCCGCATGGGAGTTCACAGCTCCTGCTCTCCTGCCTGCCCAGGGCCCCCCACCCCAACCCCAATCCCTGTGCCTCCAGCTCATTCCTCCTCTCATGCTGTGTCTCATCTTTCCTTCTCCTCCATTCCCGAGCTGTTCCCCACCACCAGGCCCCAGGAAACAGGCCCAGCCCGTAAGCACCAGCCACAGTCATCTCTCTGGCAAGATGCCCCAGTTGCCAGCTGTCCCCAGACATGCCCACACAGAAGGCAGGGCACTGGCCAGGCTTAGGGCTAGGCATGGTGCTGAGGGGCTGTGGCTAGGCCGGTCACCCCATGCTGACACAGAGGGCCTGGCAGGGAGACAAGGGCAGTTACACCTTCCTGGGAAGACATTCCTCAGTCTCTGACGTTTGCTTGCACACCTCATGCTGCCTGCCTCTCAGCCTCATCTCCACAGTATTCCTTCAGCACCCTACGCCCCTGCCAGCTGCAGCGACCTGCCACCAGTCCTGAAGAGTCCTGTTCGGTGGCTCCATCACCTCTCCTTAGAACATCTTCAGATCCAAGTCAAAGGTTACCTTTCCCTCTGAACGAGGGTGATCCCTCTGCACACACCAACGCTGCTGCCTATAACCTCTTGTCCAATATTAACCACGGGTCAACTTGGCCTCTGTCTTTGGGCGACTTGCTAAACCTATGGTATGTTAATGGGCCTGGCCAAGCCAGGTTTGCTTTATGTATAAAAACATTTTGGTGTAAAGGAATTCCAGGCCCCTCTGACAAAGGTTTTGTTTCTTGAAGCACTGGTCGCACAAGAACAATTCCTTTTGACAAACACATAGAGCAGTCATTAATCACATACCCTTTTTGGGCACATGCGTAGTCTCTGTCCCCTCACCCCATATATGCAGTCCCCTCCCTGTCTGTAGGAGAGGTGCACGACCTTGTCCAGATGTCCACTCCTAGACTCCTGTCCATGAGTGCCTAATAAACCCTCATGCTTCATGCACCGTCTCCGTGTAAATTTTTGGTGTCACAAGCACCTTCCATCGCAACTTGCCCAATTGGGCGTGCGATCAGACTTACAGTCGACAACCTCCCTCCACGGAAACTGATAAGCACTTAGCAATCACCAGGTGTTAACTGTTTGCTAGGCTCTGAGCTAAGTGCCTTAAATATCTTCTCAATTTCACAAAAACCCTGTGATAAAGGGACACTGTTGTTGCTATTTTATAGTCAAGGACCTGGATCCTTAGAGAGGTTAAGTGATTGGCCTAAGGCCAAATGCCATGTGAGCCTTCCCCTCCCACACTCTCCACCTGGGTAAAGTGGAAAGACCATGGGTTTGAGAGTTAGATTAACCTGGATTCAAATTCCAGCTCAGCCATTTACTAGCTATGTGAGGCTGGACAGCTCTGTGCCTCATTATACCCATATGTTAGGTGAAGAAATGAATAATCCCTTTGCAGCACACTACAAATAAACAATGCCTGACACAAAGTAGGACGAAAAGCGAATAGAATAATAGCCAATAATTAATATTTACTCAGTGCTTAATATGAGCCTGCCACTGATCTAAGTACTTATATTAGTATCTCATTTAATCCTCACAACAATATTACAAGGTGGGAATTTACTAGCATCCTCACTTCATGGACAGAGAATCCAAAGCTCAGGGCTGGTCCACCCTCCAGGGTCCTGTTCTCAGAGTGTCAAGCCGGTCTGCTTTTTTTTGCTTCTGCTTAAAATGCCCTCTCTGGGTGCATGTGGAAGCGACAGTTCGAGTACACACACCCTCTCTCCAGTTTGATCCTTAGTTCCAAGGAAGCAGGACGATGTCCTAATCATACTTGTAGGCCTTAGAGTTCAATCTCGGAATGTGTCTACAGTAGGCACCCTATTGGTGTTAGGGCTGGGTAGGCATCCAAGCTTACACTCATCAG